TTTTAAATTATTCAGAATAACATACGCCCTTTCAAATGCCGTAAAAAAAATTTTTTTTTTGTTTGCCCCAACCCTAACTCAATTAAAAAAAATAGCTCTAAATCGGCCAATTTAAGAGATACAAAAAAGTTAGTCGAACAAAGTTGCTTGAAATTAGCTCAGCTATAACTTTGCTGAAGAATGTATACCTTAAATTATTCAATCAAAAAAGTTAGATTCTTGATTTTAATGATAATAAGAACCACCCTAGAATTCATTGTTATAAAAATGAGGGCCAAACTATAAGGAACAACTTTGTAGAAGAGACTTTTAGTCTAAAGTTTCAATTTCAGGCTCAAAACATATCATTCCACCTAAATCTGCATTATGGACCACTGTGCACTGGTAGTATCATTGATAGAAGCAGTTGTCCTAGGAATAGAGATAGGTGAAAAAGAAAGATGTGAAAATGATAATTGATAGGGATAATTTTGATGCCGGGTTATTTCTCAAACTACGCGCTCTTGCCTGAAGAGGTAGATGTACCAGTTGAGTGGGACAGTCAATACGAGCACATAGCACATCAGAAACACAGAGAGCTGGATGTATTTCTGCTGACGCTGGGAGTGTCCAGACCTATCTGCTGACACCGATTGCGCCATGGAAGGTGACGCAGGGCCCAGCGATGAAATCTGCGTTGAACGCTTTCCATCCTGTCGGATTTATTTTGGTAGAAAGGATTCCAAACTGCTGATCCATATTCCGGTACCGATTGAACGAGTGCACAGTATAGTGATTTCAAACAGTACACGTCTTTGAAATCTTTGGCTACTCGCAAATCAGTCCTAGGTTTCTCGAAACTTTATCCGTTATATAACAGACGTGTTTACTGAATGTAATTTTGGAATCCAAGATCATCCTATGATCGTTCACCAGACTCTCTCTACTAATACGAACACCCGACAACAAATATTCGTAGATATGCGGACTCTGGCTTCTTGTGAATGAAATTATAGTGCAATTATTCGCGTTTAACACCATCCTGTTCAAGTCGCACCAGTGGGCGAATATATGTAGCTACCTTTGTGAGAAATTCGCATCGTGTGGCTTAGCTATTTTCCAAAATATTTTGAAATCGTCTGCATATTATAAAAGAGGTCCTTCAGGTTAAATGTTGATATGTCATTTAGGTACAATGGCTGAGATGGCTGCCTTGAGGAACTCCATAAGAGGAAAGCTCCAATCTTGACGTTAAGACGCCGGCCGGTCAAGTAAGATTGGAACCAACAGCCGGTGAAACCAAACCTAGCGAGTTTAGCAACAGCAATTTCGTGGTTGATTTTGTAGAAAGCGGATGACAAATATGTGTACCTATTAGCGTCGGTCTGCAGTCCTTCAGACACTCCATCAACATCGGACATAGTGAAGCAGAGAAGGTTCGTAGTAGTTGATCATTTCGGCATAAAACCATACTGATCGTCGTAGCCGGCGCCGGTGGTGTAGTGGTAAGCGTGACTGCTTTTCTCACCCCAATGGGTCTGGGTTCAATCCCAGCCGAGGTCGGTGGGATATTTCTGAGGCATAAAAATCTCTGGTCACGTCTTCCTTCGGAAGGGAAGTAAAGCCGTTGGTCCCGGCCCATATGTGTTGAATGGGTGCGATATCCTACGCAGGTGTGGAAGCTGCCTTCCTGCACCTTCTATTGACGTAAATGGATGGCAATAGATGTCCGTCAGTGGTTGGCACTAGATTGCGGAACAGAGTCCGACGTTAAATAAAGCAAATAAGCAACATACTGATCGTCGGAGATGAGCTGCTTGCATTGGAAAAAATAGGGTCCAGCACCCTTAAGGCCTGTACTCGAAGAAAATGCACCAGAAAAAGTGTTCGCCAAAAATTTATTTTAAGTTGGATCTTCTTGAAACTTTCAGGGAATGAACTAATGCATATGGATTATGTTTCGGCATAATTGCTTTATTCAATTTCCTATCCATCGCTGAAAGCCCGCACCTTTCCCTCAAGACCCCTCATTACATTTTGTGCAATGGTGGAGCTGACCTTTTTGGTCACTTTCATCCATTCTTTCTTCAACTCCAGCTCGTTCTTAAACATCTTGGACGATTTTCAACCTTTGGCCTTCATTATGGCCCAAAATCTTTCCACCGGACGAATCTCTGGTGAATTTGGGGGTTGGCGGTTTTTGGTACAAAAACAACGTTATTGTCTCTGTACCAATCCAACGTCGATCGCATGTAATGGCATGATGCCAGGTCCGGCCAAAATAATGTCTCGCCTCCGTGGGACCGCAGGAAGGGCAACAGACGCTTCTGGAGGCACTCGGTGCGGTCAATTTCGCTGTTGATTTACCGCATTGGCATATGGCCTGCCAGGACAAGTATTTTTTTGGCAAATTTGTCGACTTTCTTCTTCCTTATGTGTTCCGGAACATCAAACCGTAATTTGGCAACGTAGAACTCCAGCCCCGGTATCTGTTTTGCGTCTGCCTTGATGTAGGTTTCGTCATCCATAACCACACACATCGGTTTCGTTAACCACTCTCGATACTGCTTCCTTGCGCGGGATTTGGCCGCCGTGTTTTGTTGATCACACCGGTTCGGTGTCTTCCGGACCTTGAATACATGAAACCCAGCTCGTTTCATGGTTTGCTGAACGAACCAGGCGGAACACTTTGCCTTCAGAGCTACGTCGCGAATCGAAAGGTTCGGATTACGCTTGAAATAATCCAACACCTTTCGGGCCTTCACAGGATCAGCTGTCTTCGATTTTCTTCCACTTCCAGCCCGCCTCTCGGTCGTCTGAGACTCCTTAAACGATTTTACCACCCCAGACGCAGTTGTATGGGTGATTCCCAGTTGTCTTTCGATCCTTCTCATGGTCGCAGTCGGATTTTCCATGACGGCGCGCAAAATTCTCCGGCGATTTTCTTCTTGTTTCGATGACATCTCAATAACCACTGAACCGATTGTTATGAAATTTTGCACATATAAACAATTTACTCCAAACTAGTTATACCCAGATGTTCATCAATTTTTTACCCACGGATAAAAAAGTTACACACGGATAAAAATGGTGCATTTTTTTCGAGTACAAGCCTTAGTCGAATAATTTCGATACTGCACATAGCGCAGAGATAACCCGGTAATTGTCAACGTTAGTTTTGTCACCCTTTTTGGGAACATTCACATACTTCATCATATATACTTCATTCATATAATTCACATAGCAGGAATTATATCGGGTTCAAGTGAAGTCGAAGATTTCAATTTAGAAGCTGCTTAGAGCATCATGGAGTCATCAACATCTAAGGATGAATACATCTCTTGCTAGAACGTTTGTAGCAGCTTCGGTAAACTATTGTGGCTGCAGCGACTCGTTTGAAAAAAAATCACCAACGAATTTCGTAGATAACCGTTGGCAGATTTCCGATTCACTCGAAGCTTCAGCGTCATTCAACTTCATCGTTGAAAGTTACAAAGAGACATTTCCAAAGTTATTTCTTATATTCGAAAATCCCTGTGTTACCGATCGATCGGTTTTCGAGCAGAACTCAGCCACGGTTGTCAAAATTAGACTTCTTGCCTGTCAGAAATAACCACGCTAGGATTAATCGATATCTTTCCATCTGTCAAATTTCAACCAAAAGTTTAAAAAATCCACCATATGGTTCAGAGCCTTAGGAACGTGGCAGTCTATGACATAGAATGTTTAAGAAAGTTTGCGTAGCACTGTCGGCGTTCTCGTGATCTAGTAGGGCTTTCCAATCAAAACAGTAATAATGTTGTTGTAGTCAGCCTTGTTGAAATCACAACTCACCGTTTCCGCGTTATCGTTGAAAACTGGAAACTTCTTGTCTTTAGGGACTAACTGCAGGTGTGGGTGATGTGGCACGTGTTTCACGAGTGGAGTTAAACTCACTGAGATGTCTAGAGCCAGGACGGGACTTGACAACCCAGCTTCTCACTCTTCTTAATGTTTTTGATGAATGCCCGTCGAAAATTACTGTTTAACGGGGTTGACCAATAATGCCAGGATTGCAGAATGGTTTTTCTATTTTAATTTTAATTTGATTCGGAGTTTCTACTGCAGTTTAGTACCTAGGGCACCATTTTTGCTTAACACATTAAAAACATTCATACACAAACAAGAACATCCATCGCTTAGAGCACGCCGTGGACCTTATTTTCCAACTTTCCTTTCGCAAATATAAACAATTAACAACGCCATTGACGGCAATATTGATTCCGGCATCACTGCCAGTCAGATTGGTGTGATTCCTCTGTCCTTTTTATTCCACGATTGCTACTGTCAAATCGACCAATCAGCAACTGGCTCGGATTTGACAGCAAATTGGCTCGAAATCGCTACCCGATTGTCAAGTCCCGAGCAACGTCTTGAAGGCTTATAAAACATAAGTCCAACGTTCGTCCATATTCGTTGAAACAGTTGTTATTTTGGCGAAGGTTTGCTATTCTGTAGCTATCTAGCAAGGCACGATGGGAACGAAAACCTTTCCGTGTCTGCTAACAAGAAGCCATTATTTGAAGATTGCCAAATAATTCCGGGAAGATAGAAGTCACTGAGGATAAAAAACTCGTCACATACAGCAGCGTCACATGAGATAAATATAGCAGATCGGATGAATACGATCTGGCAGGATAAATGCAGCACCAAGGAATGACTTGTGATCAGCGAATTTGATTTTCTCCCAGATTTGCTCGGAACTAGTCTATTGGAGATCGTCAATCGAGCAGGTTTCGACAGCAATTAGAACGCCACCGCCAGATGCCTTCCTACTATTCGTGGGGCTTCTATCGGACCGGAAAACCTCATAGTTTGAGCCGAATATTTGGCTGGAGAGATTATTGGCATTTAGTCAGGTTTCGCAGAGAATGTAGACAGCAATCTGTAGCCAAATGGTGTTCTTGAACAGACGAATTCAAGCCACAAACATTCTGGTAGTAGATGACTGTTACTAAAAGGTAGGCAGCGAGAGCTTGGGGAAGCCATCTTGCGGTATTTCTCGTGTGTGTATGTGTGGTGTGTCTTCAATCTAACTCCTACTGTCTGCCAATGGCATTATGCATTGAGGCAAAAGAACCTAAGAATTTTATAAGAACAACTTATGAATTTTAGCCACAAGAAATCGATGCGAATTTCATTGATTTGCCTTATAAAAAATAATTTTGACAAAAAAATAATAAACTGAAGCAGACTGAAACCGAACCATGGACGTTGAGATTCCGGGGCTCGTGTGTTGACCACTCGTCTTTCAACGCTTCAGAAAATGAAATTGTTAAAGGCGTATAAGAGCTACCCAAGGGGATGGTCACTCCGGACAGTGTGCCAAAAACAAGCTGGGGCACACCTGGACACAGTCATTGGCACTGTTTGGCACCCATGGTTACAATTTTTCTGATCTTTAAAGTTACTGGCAACAATTATTTTTTTCTGCGCCTGCGCAGTGTGCATGTGTTAAAATTTGTTATTGATGTTGCCACAATATAATCAAATTATTTTCAAAACACAACCGTGAATCTCCACCAAGTCTCGCCATGGATTCTTAAAATCGTTACACCCGTGAAGGCAGTCGCCTCCACATTGCTTCCCAGACGAAGAACAGCCAACAGTGGTATCTTGACATGACCGAGGTTTCCGGCCATGGGTACACGAACTAGCGATGCAGCTCCCACGGCTGCGGCTGCTTCCAATGCTACTGCTGCTGCTGCTTGTCCATCTTTTTTGACGTCTTTTAGAGGAGCCGGACCAGCAGAAGGAACAGTAGCAGCAGCATTGGAAGCAGCTGCAGCCGTGGGAGCTGCATCGCTAATTCGTGTAGCGATTGCACTTCATGATGGCGTTCACTGCCAGGGCTACGCTCGGGAATTCAACCAATGCGGAGGAGGAACTCGGTCGGCATAAGGGTGGGTTATTGAAGAAGTGGAGATTGCGATTTTTGCTGGCCTGGGTCAACGAAAGGTAGCGATTGTTCTTGGAGGCGCTGTAGTCCTTGAAGCTGATCGAATTGTCTGGCAGGGTGTAGGTGTTGGTGGACTCTGACATGTAGTTCTACTTGGAAAAAGCAATCTGAACTTTGCTATCATCATTTCCATTCATTCAATGTTGTTCAAACGCTGGATGCTGCGTTCGATTGGTTCGACAGCGATGGCGTCTCCCATCTGGACCATGGCGGTACCCTCTTTGGTCTTCAGGAACTTTATCCTGACAACATTTCCGTACAGGCAGAACAGATTGAACAGCTTATCGGTGTTGGCTGTGTTGTTATCGAGTTCGTAGACCATCATTACTGCGGCCTGTTGCTGTGCCGGTTGAATGAAGTTGGCTGGTCCGTTTCGGGTCAACAGTGCGTCCTTCATCAGTCCGACGTGTGTTCCGGCCGGTGTTGGTTTCCAGTTTTCCGACGGATGATACTCGGGCGGTGAAAAATTCGGTGATTGACTAATGATTGACGTTCGTTGTGCGGGGTCCGCCTTCCGCCGAAGATGGAAGGATCGGGTAGCAACGGAGCTCGTTCGTTGCAGGCATCCTTGGAGACGGCTGCATCCAATGTGTAGTCCCAACTGGAGACCGTATCGTTTTTGTAAACATTGAAAAACAAATCGAAAACAAGAGCTGTTAAAATACCGGGTTGCCAACAAGGCATTATTCACAAGCAAACAAAAGTCAGTTCAATGACTTCTTGGCACTGCCGGCACAGCTCCGGCACACATTTGCCTCAGTGTGGATAAAATTTACCTGTGATCACTTTTCACGAATTCACAAAGCTTGAACCTGGGAGTGAGAAAGTAACACCTCTACCAATAGCCCATTTCAAGAACGCAACCATTCCGAAGCTATTTTCGCACACAATAAACCCCGCTACAATACATTGCCGATGCATTTTTTTTTCGTTGATTTGTTTTCCGTCGATCTTGTTTTCCGTACTGAGTACCAATGCTACCGACGCCAAGGAGGCAGCTCCCACACCTGGACCCTACCTATCGACCCATCAACTCATGAACCGGGGACCAACGGCTTTACTTCCCATCCGAAGGAAGGCGTGATCAGAGATGTTATGCCTCAGAACATCCCCGCGGCGCTGACTGGGCTTGAACCCAGGCCAGCTGGGGCGAGAGATAATCAAGCTTACTAATCGAGTACTGATCTTTAGAAAACTTATCGATGCTATTGAAACAATGCAAAGATTACACAAAATAATTAGTTTAATGAGATATAAGTAAGATTTTCAACTTGTCACTAGTGATATTCATATGGCCAATGAGAACAACCCAAATTTGAGTTTAGTTTACTCATGAATCCACACAAGGTGCATGAACTCAGCGATGAGTAAATTTGCCTCATGTTTTTCCAGGTTTGTACAGGAAAAAAAAAAACTTTCCGGGTATGTGAAAAGTTAAGATTGGATTCTCTCAGTCTATTGGTCAAATTTCCTCATTTTCCGGTAGATTTTTGAGGTTTTTCACAGTCACACGTTTAACTATTTCTGGTAATATGTCTTTTCTTTGTTTTCTGTATTGTCCGTTGTTGAGTTTCTCTGTCATCGTGTTGTCGTGAAATGACAATTGCTTTTCCTTTGTCTGCTTTTGTGAAGTATACTGATTTGTATTTTAATTCCTTGATGATTGTTTATTCTTCTCTGCTGTTTAGTAATTCTTGTGTTCCTTTCGTGATGTTTTCTTCTGATAATGTTCTAGTTGTGTTTTTTTTTGTTCGGTTGGTAGTTGTCTAATGTTTATAGTTGTTTCTATTTCAATGATAATTACGTAATGTTTAATACGTTCAGTAATATCTTTAATTGATCTGTTGAACATTGCTGAGATGGTTTTTTGTCAACAAAACCTCCAAAGGGTTGCACTGTTTGTTTTGAAATTCTATTAGTATTAACTTTTAATTTAGAATTTGGTTGCTGAAACATGAGGCAAATTTACTGATCGTTAAGCTCCTGCGATTCTGGCGATTATGAGTAAGCTAAACTCAAATTAAGTTCGTTCTCATTCGCCGTGTGGATTCCTATGTCAAACTGCAATGCCTGATATCATGCTCTAAGCGTATCAGTATCGAAGGTGAAATTCAGTGCTGGAGCCAGAGCTGGTAAATATCACGGCCGTCAAGTGACAATAAGAAATCAGGTCCTCTCACTATCATGAGAGTAACTGTCATACGGTTTTGACATCAACATTTCCAACTGATTTATATTAGATTTTGACAAGCAACAGTATGTAATCGGTAGAGTGAATATGTCTTTAAGATTACCGCGGTACAAGCAACAATCAATACGAAACTAACGATTTTAAACTGGCTCACTACTTGACTAGCCTATTGGTCCCAAGCAAATCGATCAACGTACCCCATTCTAGTCGAAATTCTAGTACTACACAATGTTTGTTTTTATTCGCTATGAAAGTTTGACTGATAAAATGAGGGGTTATTGGATTTTCCTATGTTCGAGGGGTGAATCGATTAGCTTGGGACCGAAGAGAGTACCAGAGCTGAGCCAAAAAGTTGAGCACGTTTCTTCGGGACCTACTAGTCTTATAGTTACCTCTATAGTACAAGTAACAATAATATCAATAAATGAGTTTATAATTGCGATGTTAACAACACTGTCACGTTCTGTCATGACAAAAATATCGATGAGATTTTGAAGTAAATCTCTATTATCGTTTTCTCAACCAATGATAGTGACAGAAGTATCTCTGTAAATATCGCGTGAGATCTTTTATTGAAAATGAAATTTCCCAGCCCTGGCTGGAGCAATATCTAATATCAATTGACATGGTTGACAGCACGCAGCGCTGATGTACTACATCTCAAAATTCGCAGAATTTCATGGAGAATTCTTCAGAGGCCATGTCAACTGTCTAAAGCAACATTGGCCACTGGTTTCGAAAGCACCGTAAATATGGCCAATTTATCGACTCCATATAACCAAAATTACATGAAGAATCCATCAGAGGCCATGTCAACATGTCAACATGTTCGGCCAAATAGCGTCCCATCCGGTGGTGCACTGGTACCGCTCGTTGTAGGATCCACCTGAGACGATGAAAAAACGGTACATGTGTCGATATTTCGACGGATCAATGGCAGACGCGGGGATAGCTGTTCACGCGTGATCCAGAGGAGGCTGGCATCGTCCCATTATTTCGGGTTAAAGTTGTGCATACGAGCCCGTGAGAAGGGTTTTTGTAATGCAAGACTGTTTTTGATTTTAATGTCGGTGTCGCCTCTTTATTTGTTACAATGGAGGGATTCCGGAGAATCCCAGGAGCGATTCCAGAGAATCTCATGAACGATTCAGGAGAATCCCAGGAGATGGAATTAAGACGAAACATATTCAAGTATGCTTTTAAGGGCAGTCCAGTTCCTTATGATTCCAGTTTTAATCATAAACGGCACTCACTGCAAATCAAGTTCCTGAATTTGGTCCACATATTCAATTCTGGTATTCTTTCAAGTTCTGAGCATTTACTCAGTAATACAGAAATACTGAGAATAAGTTGTTGTACACAAAACACTGGATTTACTTTCCACTCCGAATATTTCTCCCATCACCTGGCATCCCTGCAGCGCAGTGCGCATGTCTGAAGCCACAAGTTGTTCATCGCACCGACCCCATCGCAACAATGTGCAACAATCCTGCCGGACCGACGGCGCCGACGTTCACCCGTTCATTTGTTTACGAACGACCGACTCGGATGCGAAGGAAAGCGAAAAGAATTTTCCCATTTTCCATCCTCCCTTCGCAGTCTCATTGACAGACGGTCAGCCATTGCTGCCAACCAAACGCAGAAAAATTCGAGAATTTCATTCGCGGCGACCGATTTTCATCAGCTGCTTAGGCCCGTAATTTGCCGAAAAAAAGGAAAACAAACGTAAAAGATGACTTCCAGCCGGCTTCATCGGGTGTTTTTGTATAGTTTTGCCATCTGCCTGTTCGGTACCTTTGTGACAATCGCGGCCAAGATCTTCCCAATTGCCAATCTACCCACGAGTAAGTGATAGGACTGTTTTCTTTATACCTCCTTGATGGGACATTGAATCGTAAACATTTCCTTTGCTAGGTACTAATGTCATCATCATCGGCACATGCCTGGCTAATGTGATTTCCGTGGTGGCATTGATTATTGGAATAATAATGGTAAGTTGGACAGTAGTGGTGCACCGCGGTCGGTTGATTGTTGTCAAGGTAATTGAATTGAAACCACCCTTTCTTGGTGTGTCCCACCCCTTTCAGAAACGACCGGAGCTGGTGAAAGCCGTTAAAATATTCAGCTGGGTGCAGTTGGGTGCCATTTTCTTCCTTATCTGTTTGGCACTGTTCCTACTGTACGTGGTCAAGGTGGACGTGGAGCACTACGACGAGAGTGCGATGAAACAGGAACTGTGAGAGGTGCTGGCGTTGGCTTCTATTCAAGCGTAGCTGGGATGTTGATAATGGTGTTTGAATTAATAATTCACTGTCTTTCGAATTGAAGAAACGGCATTTTCTATGCGAAACTCCCCAGATGACAAACGTGTTCATCCTGCGTGTAATATTTTGTACTACGTGGTGGTTTTTTCGATTATAAATGTTTATTGGAATGATGTAAATAAAACGTCATCGAAAAAAAATATGCTGACCTATGTTTCCTTATATGTACTTTGCAGTCAATAATCCTTTTCGTGTCATCAATGTATCATTTATCGATTTGTGACGTATTTTCTGACTCATAATTGAAAAGAGGCTTCTACATAAATATGAATAGAAAATATTTCAAATTGTTTTCATCCTTACCTTAGTGACTTTTTGTTTTGATTCACCTTACGCTTCCCACGCTAGTACCCATCGTCACACTAAAACAAGCACCAAAAACCAAACTGACACATCTACCAACCTAAACACTGAAAACAACACCGACGGCACGGTGCAACAAAGTGCAACCAGTGCAAAACAACCGATACAAACACATAACAAACAGGGAAAGACCTTTGCCGCCTCACATCAAATTCTAAAAATACCGCACATCTCCTTCTGTTTGCTATCATCATTCTCATGATTTCATTCACATTTTTTTTTTCGTCTACCACGGCAGAGCACTGAACAAAGGGAAGCAACTGGCGAATGAATTTCACTACTGAGCTTTGTCATCTTTTCGAGATGCAACGCAATTTACGTTTTTACCTAGCAGACGGTTGATAAACTGCAGGGCAGCACTGGTGAAACATAGTTCTACCACTTACCGAAATACCAAATGAAGCCGAATTCTGGTGGAAACTGAATAATAACTGCACAACACTACTCGCGACGCACGCAACTGCACGTCAAGGAAATCCGATTAGCACTGACTGACAGGCGGTTGTACTAAACGAATAGTTTTCGCACACAAATGAGTCGGTCTGTTCAATGACAGTTCAAAACAGATAGCAAGCTCGCATTGATTGGAAGGAAAACTGAATAAATAATGTGAAGTATAATAAGATTTATTCTACAAATAATACAATTGATATGTGTGGGGATCACTTGATTCCAAAGGGACGATTCAACCAGCTCGAAGTAGGTTGACCGCTATTTGTTGAAGAAAAATCGCATATACCGGTCTTGAGCGCCGTCAGTAAACACAACTAGCGAATATAGTAGTGTTGGACGGGCAAATGAACCGAACGAACGGAATGAACGGGAATGAACGTGTAAATTAGAATGTGCTATATGTAGTCGTTTGAAGAATGCAAGGTGAACATTGCATTATGTCCTAACTAACATTGACAGATCTCTCCGTCGACTTTCTCTTTGTATCCCCACGACCATGTAACGGCATTCCCTGGTATTTTCCGCACACATATCAATATGGGAAGCTTTTATCTAGCATTTTATACGGCAAACACAACAAGAAACGGTTATGTGCTCAAGTTATTAATGAAGGAGAAAGTCGACGAAGAGAATCGATCAATGTTACATAGAACCTAATGCAATGTTCAGCTTGAATGATTCTAGGCTCAACCGGTCGATTCTGCTGTTTGTTTTACCGCAGTCTAACACACTAACACAGTCACCGCATATTTTTGCAACAGAGTTGAATGAAAACGAAAGTCGTTGATGTTGAAGAGAATCGCTCAAGCCAGATTGGACCCTTTGAAAAGTTCGTCAAAACATGACATGGGACAGTCAGCTGAGTAATTCAATTTGCGTGAAACTTGTGGAAATTTCGATGAATCATTACTTGCGTGAAAAGATTGAATGTGTTTAAATACATTAGAATGCAAGACACCACACGGTCACAAAATATGGCTAGCTTATTGCTCATTACTTATCGCATGCTATTCATTTAGTGTTATATATTCCATATTTACAAATTGAGAGCAGGCATCAATGTTCCATTTTTGCATTAATATAATTGTGTGGCAAGTACAATCATATACTCTATGCCCACGGAAGTCGAGAAATTTGACAATCGAAAATAATCCTAGACCGGACCGGGAATCAAACCCAACTACCTCCAACATGGTCTTGCTTTGTAGCTGTGTGCGTGTGTGAATACAATCCATCTCCCACTGACCGGCAGTGCTTTTATGGAAGAAACCTGCCTGCACCTATTTGTTGATAGAACTGTTTTCACCGATAGATGCAAACATTTTTAGCCCTGGAGATGAAAGGTGATAGCAGAGCTGCCAGGTGGTTTTATAAAAAAATCTGTATCCACTCTATTAAAAAATCTGTATTTTCTGTATTGACGATTTTTTTTTCTTAATTAATCATGTTTTGTTGTTTTACAAATACAGTGCATACAAAATAACCATAAAAAGTGCTTAACCACCTATTCGGGCTATCGTACTAACCATACGGGATATAATTGCGCCATTTGTGATATCGTCCGTACTTATTTATAAGAGTGATATGAAGCCGTTTGAAAATGTATGGAGATTTTAGTTTCTATCCATTATCTTCCTGATAAGCAGTTTTAAATGCAAAAAAGTGCACGAGTTCATTACTATTTGATATTTTTAATATAGATGAATACAATTAATTACATCATTTGTGTGGTAGTTACACCGAAAAGTCGAGAGATGTCACCCCGCCAGTGCTGGTAAAATCATTTTTGCAGTATGGAGAATATCAGAAAATCCGCAATTTCTTACGAAATACATTTTCAATGCAAGTTAAATGTTTACGAGTACTTGTATTTGTACCATTTTAATGTGCTCGGGCACTTTTCTTGTATTTAACATACATGCTTATATTGGAAATATTCAATTAATACTGTAAATCCCCATACAATCTCAAATCGTTTACTACCAGCTCCATATGCATCCGAAAGCGGTTGGTCCTCTGGTTGTGAATGCTGTCAAAAACACCATAACATGATTAATTGTCGATGGAAATTTTTATAGGTTCCCGAGCAGAGGGTGAGAACAAAATGAAAACAAGAATTATGTTGTTTTCATTATTCCTGATAATTCAAATTGATTTCATTTTGATGGAGTTGATGGCTAACAGAACAAAAATGAGAGCTTAAAGATATGCGAAGAATATCAAAATTATAACATATATTGATATTAGTGAGAACTGCTTGATAACTTATTTTAATATAGATATTTTATTTAGATTACAAATTTAGTTATCAACATGTTATTGCATGCATGCCGAAAAAACAAAATAAAAATACATCGCATTTTGATGTCATCATGAGTTATTAAAAGGCAGCTATATAAACGCACAGTGGAATCGATTAAATGTTCCATAATTTTTTTAATTTTTTTTTATGTTAGAGGAGCATAGCGACGAGTAAGCTTCTTCTAGTCTTTTGAGCCAAATTGGATTTCGTTTTCTTTCATGTTCGCCTTTTTCCTTCTGTGAAGTTATATTTAGTAGAGAGTCGCGAATTTTGTGATATTCTCCATACTGCAAAAACAGTTTTCCAACCACTGGAGGGGCAAAAACTCTCGGATATTTGATAAAACTACCACTCAAATTAAATGGTTAACTAATTTAGAGGTGAAAGGATAGTTATTAGGCAAAGAGGTGGAGATAAAATAGTTTTCGGTTGCAACTTTTTTGTGATATTTTATGAAAGGAGTCGACAAACAGATCTATTTTGTTAAAAGGTTTATTAACGATATTTTGAATAACATTGATAGGAATTAATCTTAGCTTCTCACTAATTATGCAGTTTCAGTTGAAAAACCAAACAATCCCTGTAAAAATTAAAAAGAACGTTAATGAGTTTATGTTATTCATGATAAATTGGTTGATTTGATACATAACGATACTGTACCATTTACTTCATTTTATACATATCCACTGTCAATCGATTTCTAGCTGCAACGGTGACTTCGACAACACCGCTTGGCGTTTTATGAGCCTTTGCATATTCTTTTGCAGCTAGAATACCTTTCATGGTGGATGTGTTTAGGCTATTCCTCACCTTAGTTTTGTTAAGATTATGTGCAGAAAAAATTCTCTCTACATCTGCAGACGAATGTGGGAATGAAAGGAAGGCTGGGATAACACATTTAAGTAGAGGAAACGCTAATTCACCACTCATACGACGAGTCGACAAAACTCTACTCCAGAACTCCGGTCCATCGATCAGTTCTCCATTTGTACTCCATTCACCTACTGTGTTCCGAGCTTCCCTAAACTCGTCGTCTATATTTTGAACTTCCTCGGCATCGTACAGTTCAGGAAACTGCTTAAGTAGCGGGTACATTGACGGATGAACTTTTTCCACTACATTTTTTGGATCGATTATGGCCAAGTTTATCAACACACCATTATTGAAATCAAAGCGCATAATGATTTGGTTCACGATAGAGATGAAGAAGTTCATCACATCCAAACGAATCTTGTGGAGATCAACCGCAGTAAGTAGCTTCTCGTCTGTGTATTTGTCAACCAGCATCTGAGCTTTCGTTCCCAAGTATAATTTTTCAAGTTCGATGTAGCTAAATATGTGGAGCTAATTTAATGGAATCCAGCTTAACAATGGAGTTGCTGTAGAGAGTTTTGCATAAATTCATGGTACCTATTTTATTTTAAATACAATTTATTAACAGGAAAACTTCATACAATTCAAAACAGTATGTAAGACTGGATGTTTGTTTTAAGAAAATTAATAAAAGTTCTTTCAGCTTTGTGAGTTTTGGTAGAGTTTACTGGATTTATTTAAAGTCCGTAAAAATTATATAAACTACATAAAACTTCATGAAATAATGTAACAGTCATGTAAATTGTGCAACAGTTCAAAAAAACAGTGCTGGATTTTTTTTTACTTCAAGAATTTTCTGGAAGTCTGCCAAAATTGTAGAAGCTCAGTAAGCTTTGTTAAATTCCAGGGAATTTCGTAGCTAATTATAAATACTAAAGGAGTTCAATATACTACATTGAAATTTCAAGATCTTACTGAAAGATTTGGGATCTTAATTTAACCTAGTCGTTAAAGAAATTTCGTAAAGAAGTCTCAAGATTTCTCTTAAAGCCTAGTGAAGAACTGTATAAACATGATTATGGTAATTGGAAGATGAAAATGATTTGGCACTTTATGAAAATTTTAATTTTTCCGAATCTCAGATTTTTTAATTTTTTTTTGCTGGAAAATGCTATCTTCGCCACTTACTGAATACTCTGGTGATAATATCTTTTTGAAATATTTTTTGATGTATAAATAAATGTCAAAAACTTACTTGGTTCACAACGATCATCAGAATTAGAGCCACTTGCTTCTGATGTTGACCCTGATTCAGCATCGGGAGAAATTCCTGAAAAAAAATTAAAGTTAAAATCCATG